ATAACCGGCCGCGCAGGAAGAGCATTGCCACAGGGAAGCAGCCGAGCATGGACGTGTCTCCCACTGCCCCTCTTCAACCCTTCCGACAATCCGTGAGTAACCCGCCCTGCTCCCGGCCCCGCTCGCTGCCCCCACCCTGTCCTTTGCCCCCTCCTCCGCCCCGGGCTCCCGCCGCTGTAGCGGGGTCCCCCCGCACCCCTACCCCCCCGTCCTGACCGTGGCCCCCCCGCCCGAGACCTACCAGCAGAGGGCGTCGTCCTCGCTGCCCCTGCCCTCGTCCCTGTCGTTCAGCCTGCCCCGCGGGCCCGCCCCCCCCCTCCACGCGTCTCACTGGGCGCCCGCCCCCCCCCTCCACGCGTCTCACTGGGCGCCCGCCCCCCCCCTCCACACGTCTCACTGGGCGCCCGACCCCTCGGGGCCCGAGGGAGGAGCCTATATCGCGCCGTTACCACCTGTGGAGGTAGGCACCGGGAGCGTCCGCGTTGGGGCGAGTGGGACTCGAGCCGCTCTGAGGTGACAGTATTTGCTCCTGAGTCTGGAGCTCCAGCCTGTAGCAGCTCTTCTCATGTTGTGTTGTTCTAACCTTTAGCTGGGAGCTTCTGTGGAGGCTTTGTCATGTGCTGGTTTCTCCTTTTTCAGAGTTTCCTCAGTAAAAGACTAAAGGGCTCCATCAAACGCGCCAAGAGCCAACCCAAACTCGACCGCTCCAGCAGCTTTCGCCACATGATCCTCCCCCGCTTCCGCAGTGCCGACCAGGAGAGGTAAGGCCCGCACCTGCCCGCACCTGCCCGCACCTGCCCACACTTGCCTGCACCTGACCACACCTGACCACACCTGACCACACCTGACCACACCTGACCGCACCTGACCACACCTGCCCGCACCTGACCACACCTGCCCGCACCTGACCGCACCTGCCCGCACCTGCCCGCACCTGACCACACCTGCCCACACCTGACCGCACCTGCCCACACCTGACCGCACCTGACCACACCTGACCACACCTGCCCACACCTGACCGCACCTGACCACACCTGACCACACCTGACCACACCTGCCCACACCTGACCACACCTGACCGCACATGACCACACCTGCCCACACCTGCCCGCACCTGACCACACCTGACCACACCTGTCCACCTGACCACACCTGTCCACCTGACCACACCTGCCCACACCTGACCACACCTGACCACACCTGACCGCACCTGACCACACCTGACCGCACATGACCACACCTGCCCACACCTGCCCGCACCTGACCACACCTGACCACACCTGTCCACCTGACCACACCTGTCCACCTGACCACACCTGCCCACACCTGACCACCTGCCCGCACCTGCCCACACCTGTCCACCTGCCCACACCTGCCCGCACCTGACCACACCTGTCCACACCTGCCTGCACCTGACCACACCTGACCACACCTGTCCACCTGACCACACCTGTCCACACCTGCCTGCACCTGACCACACCTGACCACACCTGTCCACCTGCCCACACCTGTCCACCTAACCACACCTGACCACCTGCCCGCACCTGCCCACACCTGCCCACCTGTCTGTAGTGTCTCCAGGTTTCATGGTGAAGGCTCAGACTGAGTCTCACATGTTCAGACTGAAACTCTGACTCCTCGAGTTTAGTCCAGACTCTGACACCAGCAGGAGACCGGGTCTAAACCAGGACTAAACCAGGTCTAAACCAGGTCTAAACCAGGACTAAACCAGGACTAAACCAGGTCTAAACCAGGTCTAAACCAGGACTAAACCAGGACTAAACCAGGACTAAACCAGGACTAGAGCAGGAGGATCAATTAACTATGTCTGAATACTACTACCCTCCCTGTTCCACCACTACACCTACACCCACCCCCGTCCCTCCACCCCACGACTGACCCCTCCTCCCGTCCCCCCGTCCCCCCGACCCCCCCCCCGCCCCCCCCCCCCCCCCCGCCCCCCGCCCCTCCAGGACCCGCCTGATGCAGAGTTTCAAAGAGTCCCACTCCCATGAGTCCTTGCTGTCTCCGAGCAGTGCGGCGGAGGCTCTGGACCTCACGCTGGACGAGGACGCCATCATCAAACCCGTCCACTCCAGCATCCTGGGACAAGAGTACTGCTTCGAGGTGAGTCCACACTGAGGGACATGGTCTAGAGGGGACAGGGTCAGGAGGTCTGGAGGGGACACAGTCTGGAGGGGACACAGTCTTCAGGGGACACTGTCTTCAGGGGACACTGTCTGGAGGGGACACAGTCTTCAGGGGACACGGTCTGGAGGGGACACAGTCTTCAGGGGACACGGTCTGGAGGGGACACAGTCTTCAGGGGACACGGGGGAGGGGACACAGTCTTCAGGGGACACAGTCTTCAGGGGACACGGTCTGGAGGGGACACAGTCTTCAGGGGACACTGTCTGGAGGGGACACAGTCTTCAGGGGACACGGTCTGGAGGGGACATGGTCTGGAGGGGACACTGTCTGGAGGGGACACAGTCTGGAGGTCTTGAGGGGACACAGTCTGGAGGGGACACTGTCTGGAGGGGACACAGTCTTCAGGGGACACGGTCTGGAGGGGACACAGTCTGGAGGGGACACTGTCTGGAGGTCTTGAGGGGACACAGTCTTCAGGGGACACAGTCTTCAGGGGACACGGTCTGGAGGGGACACAGTCTGGAGGGGACACGGTCTGGAGGTCTTGAGGGGACACAGTCTTCAGGGGACACAGTCTTCAGGGGACACGGTCTGGAGGGACACGGTCTGGAGGGACACGGTCTGGAGGCCTTGAGGGGACAGGGTCTTGAGGGGACATGTCCACAGCTGCAGGGCATCAGGTTCAGAGGAGCTCGTTGTGTTTCTGGAGCGTCGCTGACGTCTTTTAAGAGTTTCTCCAACACGAGTCTAAACTGAGTCCAAATGTGTCCAAGTGTCTTCACTGTCCCCAGAACACGTCACGGTCAGAACCAGAACAACTCTGCTCCTGGATTATTCCGACTCAGATCTAGAATAAAACCCCCTCCCTCCTGAACTCACATGTCCGTGTTCTTCAGGACATCGAGAGATTTCACAAAGGTCGGATTTTGTAGGATTTTTTTTAGAAGAATCATTTTGTGTGTTGAATCTGCTGCTCATGTAGCATATCAAACAGGTGTATGCAAGGGACAAAGGGGTGGAGTTGGTGTAGGTACGGGCTAGAAAACAGAAGGCTGTGGCTCTCTGGGAGGTAGGGAAACAGTAAAAAGCACAACAAACTACAGACATATGGTTGGTATTTTATATCAAAAAGTGAACTATATATATATACAATATTTACAATATTTACAATATTTACAATGCTCTTCAGATTTCCTCACGTTTGGTTAATACAAGTGCACAATAGGAAACAGGAGCGGTGGATAAGTCACTTTGTTAACGTCCTTTATCATTGTCAAAAACCAAAGGGGTGAAATTTAATGTCCGCACTTCGTGTAGAAGTGTACATATAGTCCTTCAGGGTGTGTGCGTGTAATTGTCCAAACACGGGTTGAGTAGGTGTGATGCGGGACTGGACTGGCTGCAACAGCCCCTAACCCGACCGTAGAAGCTGTTGAAGTGTCTTTCGTTGAATTCAAAGTTCCTGGGTTCAGCTCGTCATCGGGATGGTTTTCTCAACCTCAATCACCTGGTCTGTGATAAATAACAGCACCAGTCTTAATAAAATACAGTTCGGCTGATTAGCTATTAGCCATAGCTATCGGTAACTCTGATTAATAATGTATCTGCTAGCTTAATTCATAATGTACACAATTGTTCAGTGCACACAATAAGTAAAATGACATTCCAATACATGAACAGTAAATTATATTAGCATAACAATAGCCTGCAATCCATAAACAAGTTAGCGGTGGGGGCTATTGGCATGCTAGCGGCAACAACCAAAACAGACAGACAGACTCACCAATTCCTTTGCGCTATCATTTAATTCGGTCTTTTCGGCATCGATATTAGCGGTAAGGGCTCCTGAAACATTGCATAATAAGCATAAGTTTGCGAACAACCGATGTTAAAAAATCTGAAAATTTGTGATGGTGGCTCCACACCTGTGCAGCCGTCCTGTCTCGCCTCACTCCCGGGTGTGTGGAGGGAGGGGAGCAGGTGACTTAATGAAAGTGCGAGCGTGCGCGTGACGCGTTTAGTGACTCGTCGCCGTTGGAATATTCGCTCTTGACCAAATTTGTCCATATTAACCTGGGTTACACTCACACTCACCCAAGACTCTGAAGCTTCAACACAACATTTGGAAAAAACTTTAACAACTGGAAACAAATTTGGACTTGGGACCAAAAATGAGTTCTGTTTCTGCAGGACAAAAGGATCTGGATCATCAACAACATCAGAAAAGAATCAAGAGCAAATTCATGAAAAACTCTCGTGACGTCCCAAGAGTCTGTGAGGAGAACATGTTTGGAGACTCTTGGACTCTTGGACTCTGGAGATTCCTGGTTTGGTGGTTTGGTGGTTTGGTGTTTCAGGTTCTGTAGCTTTGCCCCTGTGAGTTTGAGCAGCAGATTCAAGACACTAAATGATTCTGTTTGGGAGAAAACGACTCAACCTGAAAACACAACAAACATAAAACTTTACAGATCAAATCTTCATCTGTGTCTAAACATTCTGTGAAAATTTTAGATTATTTCAACAAAAATTGCCAAAATTATTGACCTGTGAAATTATGTCAAAGTTTTTCTGACCCCCGTAGTTCGACGAGAATATTTCATATAAATATAAACACACATGTGTGACGTGTGTGACATGTGTGATGTGTGTGACGTGTGTAATGTGTGTGACGTGTGTGACGTGTGTAATGTGTGTGACGTGTGTAATGTGTGTGACGTGTGTGACGTGTGACACGTGTGTGACGTGTGTGACGTGTGTGATGTGTGTGACGTGTGTGACACGTGTGTGACACGTGTGTGACGTGTGTGACGTGTGTGACGTGTGTGATGTGTGTGACGTGTGTGACGTGT